TCGGCACTTATTGTATCACATAGTAGTTCAAATAAATAAAAACAGGATCGCTTAAAAAAAAAAAAAAAAAAAAAAAAACTATCTAGATAATATACCAAAGTGACTATTAATAATATTCTTCCTATAGTACTCTGTAAAATAATTTAAATAAATTTTTTCTTGGCATACTGAAGGTATATATCAAAAAAAAAATTCATCAATTCAGCAAAATAAAAGTGAGGTCTGCAATTTGACCAAAAACAAGCTTTATAAAATCTTGACATGAAAGAATAACTAAAAAGCTTTATAATACAGTCTATAACAAATAATTTATTATGGCTCAAAACATCAGAAAAATAATCAAAGTATTGCATATATAAACTTTGATCAGATTCATGATAATATACTGCAAATTCAAAAACAAATACTTGAGTTTTTCAAAAAAATTATTTTTAGTTTTGACTGAACCACCACCAATTCTAATATTTTCCTTGAAATCCATTACAATTATACAGGATGAAGATGTTATATGTTCAATTAATTGCTTATAGAAATAATTTTGTTGATTTTTAAAATTATGATAATAATAATAATAATTAACCATTTCTTTTAAATTTTCAAGAATAATAGGATTAGTTGTTGATATTATAGATGTAAGTTGTTGTAATTTTTTTTCGGCTTGTTGTCCTTTAATATATACTTGACACATATCAGTTTTTTTTTGAGCTTTTTTAAAATTTTTCAAACATAATTTGTAAAATAAACTAAGGCTAAGTTTTATATCTGGATATTGTGATTTTAATTCAAAATATATATCATGTTTTGATTTTTCTAAAAAATACACTTCATTTATTTCAAAATTTTGTTTGTGTTTTGTAATTAATAATCTTCATGAATTATTATAAAAAAATTCACTAATAAGTTACTTTGTATTTTCATTAATAGTCGATCATGATGGTGGTATAAACCTTTGATAATTAGTTAATAAAAATAAAGATTGATTGGCCTTTTGAACAGCAGTCTTAAACTGATCATTACTAAAGCAAAATCCAAAATTTTTAAGCTTTGATTGACTTAAAATTTTTGCTAATAAAGAAAGTATGTTTGATTTATTTTTTTAGATTTGTATTAGTATGCATAATTTTAATGTTATTAATTATTTGATTTATTTTTTCGATAGGCATAATAATTTTGTACTAGTAGAAATAAAAAAATCCTTTTATGGATAATAAAAAAAAAAAGATTTTTTTTATAAATAAAAAATAGTACTGATAGGATAGTAATAGATATGTAATTGATTACATAATTTGTAATTTGGTCCGGTTTCAAAAATTATTACCTATATATTAGTGTTTCAATCCGTAATCCGACAATTCAAATTGATCCGATAATTCGGATTAAATACGGATATCCTAATCTGTTTATTTTAATGAATAGATCCATAATAAATATCGGATTAAGGATAAGGATTATACGGATCCTTATATATAATCTGAATTGCTGTAAAATTCGAATATTACTGTAATTCACCGACAAGTTCACTTCACCGACAGTTTATTTCACCAACAGCTCATTTCGCTGACAAGTTTTTTTT